AGGCGGCGGCGGGCGAGCCCGGCCAGATCTGCTGCGACGAGCCGGTGCTGCGGAACCTCAACCCCTGGAGCACGGCCATCGTGGCCTTCTGACCGCCCGCGTCCAGGACTCTGCCCCGCAGGCCCGGGCTGCAGGGTGCCCCCAGGCCGGAGCGCTGCGCTGCACCCGCACACCAGCTGGGGAAGAAGGGGTTTTCCTCCTGCAAGCAGGCAGGAAGTGGGGAGCAGCGCCGGGGAGCCCCCCGCATGCTCCTCCTACGCACTGCACTGGAGGGAGCAGGGCAGGAGCAGCCCCTCCGTGCCTGCCTGCTGCGATCGCCGCCAGGAGCCAGCCTTGCACAGTCTGCCTTCCCTGGGAAGCCTGGCCCCATCCTTGGGGGCCCAAGACACTTGGGGTGCAGTAGGTTGAGCCAGGAAAGTTGGAAGTTCCTGGCAAGTTTTCTCAAAGCTGCCTCTGGAGAAGCTGGAGGTCAGGACGACTTACATGGTGCTTTTTGCCAAGAGTTTAATGCAGCGGAACCACGTTTACAGACACTGGGGCAAGTCCTTGAGCCTTCTCCAGCAGGCGGGAGGACTCCCGGCCTTTGTTCTATAAAGGCTTGGGGCTCTCTGGGGGGTGGGGGTTGTACAGTACAGTGTTCTCTCCTTCCGTGATGTATTTTGTCTTTTTGTATTGGAAATTGTACTGCTACGTGTGTAACACGTATTAAATATTTTCAACTGTTCAGCTGTAGTCATTTATGCAGCCGCCAAGCGGGTGGGAAGGGTGAGAGCTGGGCATGGGAGATGAGGAGGGTGTGGTGGCTGTGTCCTGGATCCACCCAGAGGCTCTGGGTGGTTTTGTTTCTAGCTCCTCTGGGAGCTGTGAAGAAAGGAAGCTTCTGTTAGGGCAAGATTATGAGAGTCCCTCTCATGACTCTCTTTTTTTTTTTTTTTTTTTTGTTTCAGGTCATCTGAAATACCTCTTGCTGTAGCTTCTTCCCTATTCAGCTCTGTGGCTTGGCAAACTGCCTGCTGAATTTGGGGGGTTTTGACTTGGGGTATGCCCAGTAGGTCTCTTGCCATCTCTGTTGTTTAAAAAAATCCAGAGATTGCTTGTAAGGCTGTAGTGAGTTGGAGGGGGAGGGGGGAGAATAGTGCTGCAGTAGCATTTGAACTTTTAATAAAAAATAATGTGTAAATCATCAGTTTCCATCCTTTCCTTTAGTTGGACTGAAAAGTCAATATGACAAGAGCTGCTACACTGCCAAAATAACTAACGTTTTCTTAACAGTCAAGGTTGTTGTCCTATCTTGTCCAGTCAGCCCAGGTATTGGGTGGTAATATAAATAACTTGGTCAACTAAAAGCTTCTAGGAAAAGAACTATCTTTTCTTATACCATACTTATAACCTGTAGAAGTCTTTTCCATTGAGAAACTACTACTTTATGTTTATGTTCTTCACCATTAACTTTGGCTTACCAGAACAGTAATAATTACAGTGGGGAATGGACAGATTTAATTGTTCTTGTTAACAAGATACGGTCAGTTTAATGATGATACATAGGCGTTAGAGAGACTTCAGCCTTTTTAGTTAATAACCCTTACAAAGTCTTGTGCAATCTAGGATATCCTTCAGTTTGCAGAAATGTTGGGAAAATCATTTAAATCAACTGCAGAAACCTTGGTCTATGGGAGACTTTGCTCCTTTCTAAGCTAGGGAAGGGAGGTGTGTGGGGGGCGGGGGGGAGAGGCATGGGGTTTCCCACTATTGGATGTGCAGCTATGCAGTTCCTGTCTCTCAGAAGACTGGAGGGGACTAAAAGAGCAGAGTGAAAACAGCAATGGAGAGAAGGGACTCTGTTCTGTCATGATATGTTTGTCATGCTTGGTAATGTACACTGCTTTAGATAAAAGAAGTCTCTGGGGAGAGACAATGTTTTACCTTTTCAAATAAGATAGTGGAACTTGCGCGCGAGCGCACACACGCGTTCTGCAGCAAACCTAGAAGAATTGGACCTGACAAGGCAGCCAGCAGTGGGGGTGAGAACCTTGGGGGCTCAATCTTTACAAGGAAGCTAAATTCTTAAGGGGGGTGTCCCAGAGTATTGTAGGAGTTAAGTGTTTGATTTGAAGTTTAAACACAAATCTGTTACTCCCTTACCCCTCTTGGTACTTGTAGTATCACACTCCAGTAATGTCACCACTTTTTAATAGGCCTGAAGAGAAAATCTGATTTCCTGAAATTTCCCCAACCCTCTTTGAGGCTATCTTGATACTTCATATATCCATGAGAGGATATCCTCCACTTATCCTCGCAGGCCCACGTTTGATTTGTTTTCCATTTCAAGTGGGTCACCTTTAGGTGTGGTAGGGGTGTAGCTAGTGTGTGTTCTTGGTTTGGTGTGTTTGTTTGTTTGGTTTTCTTGGTTGTTTTTTTGGTGGGGGGTGGGTTGTGGTGGGTTTTTGTTTTATTTTAGCTCCTTAAGTGGCTGTCTACAGAGCTATCTTTTTTTTTCTATTCTATCCTGCTGGCTGACTTCTGTGGAATTACTTCACT